ATAGTATACCCCTGTCTATTTTAATAGGAAAACAACCATTTTCCCACAAATCTTTAAGTAAAGATGTGGTTCATTTGTCTTCTTGTTTGTCATGCTCTAGTTTGAGGAATATCCCCCGAGCCCAGTGGCTCCCCAAACTCCTCCTCATCAACCCCAATTTCTTGGTCAATGCAGCCCTTTTTGGTGCACCGGAGCCCATACCTGGCATAGGTGGGGGTAACAACATAGATAGTAGGCAGGGCCTCAGGTTCAGGGGGCTGGGCGGGGGCAGGGGGTGGGCGTCGCAGATCGGCTTGCAGCTGGGAAATCCTCAGATCCTTCTGCCGAAGCTGCTCGGCCGCTGCCCGCAGGGGAGGGAGGCAGTCACATGGCTGGCCTGGTCCCAGGAAGCATGGGGAAAGGAGGTGGGGGGGCAGAGAACCACAGAATGTTCAGCATCCCAAAAGGCCATCACCTTCTCATTTAACTCCTAGCCAATGCACAAATCCACACATGACTTCTCTAGTAGCCTTTTCTACACCCCTGGTGTGGGGAAGTCGTTGTCTCAATTAGCAACTTCTCTGCATCTTTAGTAAATCCCATCTATTGCCCTGGCACACAGTGGCTCAAGCCTGTAATCCTAGCACTCTGGGAGGCTGAGGCGGGAGGATCCCTCGAGGTCAGGAGTTCGAGACCAGCCTGAACAAGAGCGAGACCCTGTCTCTACTAAAAATAGAAGGAAATTAGCTGGACAACTAAAAATATATATAGAAAAAATTAGCTGGGCATGGTGGCACACGCGTGTAGTCCCAGCTACTTGGGAGGCTGAAGCAGAAGGATTGCTTAAGCCCAGGAGTTTGAGGTTCCTGTGAGCTAGGCTGAGGCCACGGCACTCACTGTAGCCAGGGCAACAGAGGTAGACTCTGTCTCAAAAACAAAACAAACAAAAAAAATTCCATCTATTACAATTTCCGTTTGGATATTGAGCTGATTATCTGCCTCCATCCTTTCTATCTGCTGGACCTAATTTTGCCTTCTAGACTAATAACAAACAAGTCAAAGTCCTTAAGCAGGACAGTCTTTCAAATATTAGGTTAAGTATGAAATGTCCAATTTCCTTAAGCACTAAGTTTGACAGCTGATATCTCTTTTTTTTTTTCTTTATTTCAGCATATTATGGGGGTACAGATGTTTAGGTTACGTGTGTTGCCCTTGGTTCCCCCCCGCTGATATCTCTGACATTTCATGTTGACACTTGTTTTATTTTTATTGTGAAGGCACATTCTCAGTCTTTCAAACGCATGTTTTCGCTTGTGATCATCTTTCAAAAATTTTTTAAGGGCAATTTTTGTGAAACCACGGATAAGTCAAAACTTCGTGTCATTTTTGAAGATGAGTTCCATTGTGGAAACAATGCAGTGCAGACACCACGAAATATCAACAAAGTGTTTGGGAAGGATGTGGCTAATGAACACACAGTAGTACACTGATGGTTTGAGAAGTTCCATTCTGGTTACTTTAATCTTGAAAATGAGCCACGTGGGCAACCAGAGACCAAGGTGGATAATGATGAACTGAAAACTGTAGTGGAAGTGAATCCATCTCAACCTACGCATGATTCAACAGGAAGGTTTGACGTTACTATTCCAACAATATTGGACTATTTGAAACTAACCAGCGAGGTAAAAGAAGCTGGATAGCCGGGCGCGGTGGCTCACGCCTGTAATCCTAGCACTCTGGGAGGCCGAGGCGGGTGGATCGCTCAAAGTCAGGAGTTCGAGACCAGCCTGACCAAGGGCGAGACCCCGTCTCTACTAAAAAATAGAAAGAAATGATCTGGACAACTAAAAATATATA